ACAGGGGTTAAAGCAAAATGGCCGAGATCGACATTATTTATCGTACACCCGTTATATGAGAAACGTTTCTAAGCCTATAACTTTCTTACTATATGAGCTAGCGGAGTCAATCAATAGTCATTTTGTAGAGCGTGTTTTACTGCATCTTTTCTTCATAGAGACAAATTTACAACCACTTGTTTCTCTATAGAAAAATTTATTATGCCTATTGTAACAGAACTTCTGGGACACCCTTTAGAGTAGAAAATAATTGTTGTGTTCGTACAAGGTATGTCATATATAATAAGATGAAGGTATCTCCTTTTAACTTCTACTAAATAAGATAATCTTTTAACAACTGATACTACACGGCATAATGATATGAAACAATGAATCTACCATTTACTGGTCAATAAGATATATGCGTATAATCAATAATGGTAGACCTTGAAACAAAAGATTAAACAATAGTGACGAATGTACACACGAATGTACTAGTAACTAACATTGCTTTTTCAATGAAACTGTACGTTTTGTTCTAACATTAAATATTAATTCATAAAGACCCATCGTTTGTAAATATTCGGCCTTATCAACCATATCATCCAAGGTACTAAAATATTCTCCATCTATATCCTTAAAAGCAGCAAGTAGCAAACTATCAATTACATAAATATCATTATCAACACCATCAGAATCTAATAACCAACACGACAGTTAGGACGAAGGTTACATTAGAGATGATCTTTCATTTTTATTTACCGGTGTAAGTCAGTCGAAATTCATTATTGCTTGCACAATCGGCTTTCTTAGCGATGGTACGACAATAAGGACATTGATAAACGACACGTCAATCATTAACATAAACCGATTTTGTACATCGAATACATTTTAAACCACTACTGATTTGATGCATTTGACTGAACGCAACTGTTGAACGTCTTTCTTCTGTTAACCCGTTCATTCCCGATGTCTGTTTAAACAGACATGAGTTAAGTTTATTTATAAGTCGTGAACGACGCAAGGTATTTACATGCGGTTTTCAACATTCGATAGCCAAGACTTTAAGCTATGTTTGCATAAGCAAAAACTGGTGTCGGAAAAATTTCAAAGATCGGGTTTTCAAAGGATCTCTGGAAAACCACTTCGTATCTCTCAAAACTAAAACGGCAATCTATCGACTTTTTTTCATATGTAGATAGTCCAAAGTGTCCTGTTTAAAACAGGAATTAAGCGAACTCTTACTTGTTTGTGGTTTAGGCGTGGCATCAGATTTCCTCGAAGCCCCAAGATCAATATTTCTTTAGATGTGGTAATCTCAAAGACGAATGGAAACATAGGTAATCGACTACGGTGAATCTTCTGGCAACATTTGTTGTACAGAACAGTTCCAGAAACCTAGTGAAAACGTATATTAGGTCAAGTAACCCATTTTTGCCTATTTATTTATTTATTGCTGTAGAGCTTTTTAGTCAAACCGACCCACCGTCAGTACATCTTTAAAAATATTCACAATCAAACAGAGATATATAGTCATCCGAATACATATTCAGTCTTAGTGCATAACATATGACTTTTACTTGGAGAAAAATACCAATGTAAAGAGAGAGAAAAAGGCGAAATAAGTCATATTATGTTATTATTCTTGGTCAATCTAACAATGAGTGTAAAAGGGAGAAGCGAAAAGAATAAAAAGGATTTGACAGGTTTTCGAAATAGATCTGTTCGCGGTCGCCCTTCAACTCGATCGACTTCTACTATCTCTACAAAGGTTTTATTTCACTTGCCGAAACTAGAGGATACTCAGAGTCGTTGCAAACATTGCCAGATAGCTACCAACTACCAATGTCTAGGCTGTGC